GGACCGGCAGAGGTGGAACGCGAGCGCGTGCGCCCAGCTGAGGCCGCAGCGCGGGTAACTACAGACGAAGACGTCGTCGCTCCGGCAGGTCAGGCGCCGGAACTGGGCCAGGCCCTTGGTGTGCTTCACGGGCGGCTTCTGGAGCGCCACGGGCTCCGTCGCGATCTCCCAGCTCCACGTCTCGTTGGCGTTGGCCGGCAGGTCGTCGAGCGGCTCGCCGAAGAAGAGGAGCTCCATGCCGCAGGCGAGGCGGCTCATCATGCCGTGGTCGCCGGACGCGCTGCGGCCGCTCGCGGACACGGGCAGGCAGCCCTCGGGCATCATGGCGACGGTGGAATGCGGGCGTCGCGCGGCCTCCAGACGGCGCGGGCGGCCGAGCTATTTTGCCAAGAGCCGATCTTTGCCACTGCTCGCCGATGCTGCGGCAGCATTGCCGCTCGGCGGCGTGTGCCAGCTCGAAAATCGCGGTGCCTTCACCGACCGCGCTGAAGCCCCTCGCCCCCTGCGCGCGACGATGAGCGGCACCTTCGACTTCTCCTCTTGGAACGCGGTCGGCGACGAGGAAGCCGAGGAGGAGCGGCAGGTCCGGGCTTCGGAGGAGAGCTTCGTCGACCGCGACGTCCTGCGCGCCGCCGTCGCCGAGCTCGACCGGAAGAAGCAGCAGAAGACCGCGCGCGAGGCGCGCGCGGCGGCGAACCTCGCGGAGGCGGCGAAGCGGGGCCGGCGCGCCGGCGCGGGCGCCGGTCGCGCGCCCGGCCCGCACGCCGCGTTCGTGCGCTCGGTCCTCGACGGCGAGCCCAGGAAGAAGCCCCTGGGCCGCCGCAAGCCCGGCGCGCCGACGGGCGCCGCGGCCCTCGCCGCCGCCGAGAAGGCCCTCGCCGCGGGGCAGACGGCCTTCGCGCTCGGCGACGCGCGCGGCGCGTTCTGGCGATACACGGAAGGCGTCGACGCCGTCAAGCACGAGCCCTCCGCGGGGCCGGTCTCCGAGGTCCTCGCGGCGCTCTACGCGTCGCGGTCCGAGGCGGCGATCCACACGGGCTTCTTCCAGTCCGCGGCGCGCGACGCCGCGTCGGCGCTCGCGGAAGCGCCCGACCGCGTCGAGTGCTGGCACCGCCTCGCGACGGCGGCCGACGCGGAGGGGTCCGTCGACGTCGCGCTCGAGGCCTGCCTCCGGGGCCTGGCCCTGGACCCGGACCACGGCGCCCTCCGCGCGCTCGAGGTCGAGTGCGCGACGGCCCAGAGAAAAGCGCTCGCGGACGGGCCCGCCGACGCGGCGGCGAACGCGCCGGCGAACGCGGCGGCGAACGCGGCGGTGATCTCGGCGCCGCCCGCGCCGGCGACCTCGGCGCCGCCCGCGCCGCCCGCGCCGCCGCGCCGCGCGCCGCCGGCGCCGCTCGTCGTCCCCGGCGACGTCGAACGGTCCTGGGACGCGTACGTCGCGGCGCTCTCGAAGCAGGCCGCGGACGACGACGGCGAGGCCGCGCCGCCGCCGCCGTTCCTCGCGGCCCCCACGCCCGTGAGCGCGCGGGCGTGAATAACCCTCCCTGTGTCTCCTTTATGGCGGCCGGAACCGCGGCTCGCTCATCCACGCCGGCGTGAGCCGCCCGCGGCCGCGGCCGAGCGTCCGCGGCGTATCGTCGAACGGCGCCACGACCGGCGGCGCCGGCGCGCGGTCGAGCGGCGCCGCGGCTCGCGCGGCCTTGACCCGCTTCTTCGCCCGTTTCTCCGCGGCGCCGGCGCGCTTCGGCTTCGGCGGCGCCGGCGCGCCGATGCCGATCGGGGCGCGCAGGCCGCGCGACACGGCGGGCACGCAGGCGGCGACGATCGTCTCGGCGTCGAGGCCGCGCTTCCCGCGGCCGGCGCCCTCTCCGTCCCTCCAGCCCATGCGCCGCAACAGCGCCGCGCCGCGCCCGTAGACGCGGTCGTTGCTGTTGCCGCCGGCGGTCTCGTTGCGATTGTTGCCGCTGATCGCCTCGTCGTCGTCGCCGCGCTTCCGCCGCCGCTTCGCGGGCTTCGCGGGCGCCGGCGGCGCGACGGCGCCGACCGCCGCCACGAGCGCGTCGAGCTCCGCCGCGTCGCCCGCGCGCTCGGCGAGGCGGCAGCTCCGCGCCGTCGACGCCGCCTTGGCGTCGGCCGCGACGCGGAACGACGCCGCCCGGCGCGTGCCGCCGCCGTCGTGGTCCGTGGCCCTGAGGTGGTCCAGGAGCGCGCTCCACTTCCCGTGGGCGAAGTCGCAGCCGGGGCAGGCGTAGCCGCTCATCGTTCGTGGCGAGGTCTGCACTTTGTCTAGACTATCTTCCGCTGAGGAGTCCTGGCGCAAGCAAGCGGCGCCAGAGCCTCTGGCAGAGGCCGCAGGACAGCTCCATGCTATCCATGCTCAGGTGTTCGAACGTTCAACAGGAGGCTAACATGAGCTTCAACATATCCCATGCAGCCATTTATTACGCGTCGTCTCCGTCCTCTTCCACCATGGAGCGCACGATGTCGTGGAGGTCGAAGCCGCCGGGGACGCCGGCCTCGGCGGCCTCGTCGAGGCCGGCGTCGTCCTTGAGCGTCTCGTGCATCGCGAGGAGGTTTCGCAGCTCGTCCTCGCCGTAGAAGCCCGCGCTCGTCGCCGGCGCGGCGGCCTCGCCGCCGAGGACCGCCGTCGCGGCCGGCGCGGCCGCGGCGAGGCCCCCGAGGCGCTCGCGGAGCCGCGTCGCCGCGCCCCAGGCCCGGTCCGCGTCGGACGCCGTCCGCAGGTCGAAGGCCTTGCGGCGCCGCTCGTCCTCGCCCATGTCGCCCGCGCCGAAGAGCGCCGCGTCGCCGTCGATGAGCACGCGCGCGCCCGGGCCGGCGCCGTCCTCGCCCGCGCCCGCGGCCACGGCGACGTCGCTGTCCGCGGCGAGCCCCTCGAAGTGGGCGACGGCGTCGAAGGGCGGACTGCCCTCGACGACGATCTTCATGGCCGGCAGCTTGCCATTCGGGGAGAGCGCCGCGGCGCTCGCGGCGCAGAAAAGCACGAGCTTCATTGCGGTAGAGCGCCTCGCTGTCGGGAGAGCATGAGCCATCCCAAAATGCTAGTGCAACATGAGCTTCAAGGAGGGGTCGCGGCGCGTCGAATTGACATGAAAAGACCAGGCTGCTGTTGTTCGTTACGACATGGCGAAGCGCCGCACGCCCGCGCCGCAGCCGGGGCAGGCCTTGGGCACCGCGCGGCCGCCGTCCGGGATGGGGAGCAGGTCGGAGACGCGGCGCGCGCAGGCGCCGCAGAAGAGGCCGTCGGCGAGCGTGAGGCGCGCCGACGTCGCGTCGTCGAAGTCGGCGTCGCCCTCGTCGTCGACGCGCGCCGCGCCGTCGTCGCCCGCGGGCGCCGCGGCGCCGCGCGGCGCGCAGCGGAAGACGTGCTTCTGGCGCGTCGCGACGATCTGGAGCACGTCGAAGCGCTGGTCGCCCGCGTCGGAACCGCCGATGGCGCCACCGCCGCCCGGCGACCGCGCGACCTCCCAGGCGTCGGCCGGCGGCCGCGTCGCGCCCGCGGTCGCCTCCGCGCAGCGATTCGCGACGCCGTCGGACAGCAGCGACACGACGTCCGCGCCGCAGACCGACGTCACGACGAAGACGCCGCCGTCCCCGAGCACGCGCGCGACCTCGCACAGGTAGCGGTCGCGCGGCGCGTAGCGCGCGGTCTCGCTGGACACGAAGCAGTCGAGGCACCCCTTGTCGAGCACGACGTCGAAGCTCCCGGCCTCGAAGGGCAGGTCCAGGGCGTCGGCGCACACGTAGGTCGCCCGCCCCTCCGGGTCGCTCGCGCGGCACGCCTCGACGACGCGCGGCGAGAAGTCGACCCCCGTCACGGCGCCGAACGCGCCGAGCTCCGCGAGATGCGTCGCCGTGCCGCATCCCACGTCCAGGACCCGCGCGGGCCGGCCCGTCGCGCGCTCGACGCGCCGCATCTCCCGGCGCGCCGCGGCGAAGACCGCGCCGGCGGCGCTGTACCAGTCGTACTGCTCGCCGTCGTCGTAGAAGTCGTCCCAGTAGCCCGGGTCCTGGAAGTCGCCCTCCTCCTCCTCCGTCGTCGCCGACGCGGCGCTGGCGTCGTCGTTGGGTGTTGCAGCGTTGCCAATCGCTGCATCGATGACATCCGCTATGTGCGCCCGTTGGCGAGCGCTCTCCCCCGCGGTCAGACCGTGGATCATCTGCGCGGCCATGCTTGCGATCGCCTTGTTGCAGGTCAGAGATGAAGTAGATTGATTGTTCAACAAGTCGCGCCAAGCAGCATCGAAGCAGCCCCGGCGCCCGGCGCAGCGGCCGCCGTCGTCGCGCGCGCGTCGACACCGCGATGGTGGACTACTCGAAGTTCGAGAACATCGACGTCGAGCAGGCCAAGGCCTGGGCGGCGCAGCAGGACTTCGAGAACATCGACGTCGAGCAGGCCAAGGCCTGGGCGGCGCGGCAGGACTTCCGCAACCCGTGCGTCGAGCCGCGGGACCTGGGCAGCAGCGCCTACCTGCGCAGCGACGAGCTCGGCGTCTTCGTCGAGGGCGCCGTCGTCGTCCTGAACACGAGCGACAGCTTCGACGGCGAGCTCGGCCGCGTCCAGTCCTTCGACGACGCGGCGCGGAAGTGGCAGGTGAAGCTGCTGAACTCGAAGCTCGCGCACGTGCCGCTCGACTGCCCCTGGGAGGAGCTGCGGTTCCTGTACCGCGTGCCGCGGCACCCCGAGGCGACCGCGGCCCCGCGCGGGTTGATGGAGGCGCCGCGCGGGACCAACGCGCGCGCGCTCGTCGCGGCGCGGGGGTTTCGCAAAGGCGAAGAGCTCTTCGCGGAACCGCCGCTGCTCGTCGCGACGTCGCGGCCCGACGACGCGACGCGCGCGCGCTGGCTGGCGCTCCAGGAGCTCAAGCGCTGGGCGCGCGTGAAAAAACAAAAGACGCCGGAATTCGAGACCGCGCTCGCGTCCTTCGAGGCTTTGGCGACGGGCGTCGCCTCGCTGCAGCCCGGCGCGTTCTGCGGCCTCTGCGGGCGGGAGCGGGCCAGGCTCCTCAAGTGCGGCCGCTGCAAGACGGCGACGTTCTGCGGGGCAAAATGCTTCAAGGCCGCCTGGCGCGCGGGCCACCGCGAGACGTGCGGCGCCGCGCCGGACCGGCTCCACCCGCGGTCGCGGCGCTGGCTCGACGCGCTGCGCCTCGTCGACGAGGACCTCAAGCACTCCTTCCGGTCGCCGGCGACGGCGGCCATCAAGGACGACATGGTCCGGAAGGTCGCGGACTGCGACGCGCGCTTCGACGCCTGCGGCGCGTGGCTGCCGCCGCTCGCGGGCGACCGCGTCGCCGTCTACGCGCGCGCGGGCGCGCTGGACCACGCCTGCGCGCCGACGGCGACGCTCGAGCGCGACGGCGAGACCCTCCGCTGCGTCGCCGCGCGCGACCTGCGGCGGGGCGAGGCCGTCACGGTCAACTACGGCCCGCGGGGCCTGCCGACGTGGGGCGCGGACGTGCGCCGCGCCTGGCTCTGGAAGCACCGCCTCTTCGACTGCAGGTGCGAAGCCTGCGCGCCGGCGGCGCGCGCCGCGGCGCCGGACGAGGCGGTGGCGGTGGAGGCGCCGGCCGGCGAGGTCGGCGGGGACGG